TGGGGTGGGGATAAGACTTGGGTCCTGGCCCTAACCGGTTTGGCTCAGTGGATAGAGTGTCGGCCTGCAGACTGAAAGGTCCCAGGTTCGATTCCGGTCGAGGGCATGTACCTTGGTTACGGGCACATCCCCAGTAGGAGGTGTGCAGGAGGCAGCTGATCGATGTTTCTCATCAATGTTTCTATCTCTCTCCCTTCCTCTCTGTAAAAAATCAATAAAATATATATTTTTTTAAAAAGACTTGGGTTCTGGGCAGCAGGTAACTAGTCAGAGACACAGAAGCTAGGCTCTGGTGGGAACACAGTGAGTAAAACTGGAGCCTGGGGACAGTGCTTAGGGATGAGGGACACACACACACACACACACACACACACACACACACACACTGACCCCAGCATACTGTACCGTAGGGGCTAGCAGTCACAGGCCCATCAACTGGAGCCATCTCCTCTTGCCCCCTGACAGCATTCACAGCGTTCAGTCCCTGGACCACCGTGCTGAGTGTCACCCAGCACATGGCACCGGGACAACCAGAAAAGAGAAATGCTGACCGTGTCTCACCGTGTGTTTGAGTAAATTTACTCTGCGTTTTTCCGAGGAGCCTTCGCATGGGTGGGAATTTACTCCCCTGAATGGAATCATTACGTATTTTGAGTGAATATGTGTCAACATCTCTGTCAAGGGGAGGTTCCAGGATTCTCTGCCTGAAGTCATTTCCACAAGACACCGGTTGGGCAGATAGGGTGGTACAAACTGGCTGGCCTGATGGGAGGCGGGGATGTGAGCTGGGGGGATATCTGAGCAGGTGAAGAGGAGGGAGGGGATAGTTGGGAGGCTGCAGGCTGACAATATACATGAACCCCCAGACATTGTAAAACAAGGTGAGCGGAGAACACAGGCGGAGCGGGCAAGGACAGAGAACGGGGCACTGGCCGTTCAGACCAGAAAGACAGGCTGGGGCCAGACTGAGGGGCCTGAATGCCAGCTCCCGACAGTAACCAGCTGTGTGACCTTGGGCAGCTGTCCAACCTTCCTGTGCTTCCGCCTCATTTTAGTACAATGTAGCTGTGGACACCAACAGTTTTTACAGCTCTTTGGAGGGTTAATCAAGATAATGCATGTAAAATACTTAGCACTGAGCCTTACACATGGCCGGTGCCAGGACACATTTGTTGTTTGGTGGTGGTGATGAAACCACACAAGCATAGATGTGCTCATATAAATTAATGGCTCAGCTGCTTTGAAACTGTTACCCAGAGTTGGCCCTCAATCTACCATCACATTTGCTTCTCATCCTCCGCTGAGGAGAGCCATGGTCTCTTCAGAAGCCCTTGTCCACGAACAGCCAGGCTCTGGGGCTGACCGTCGTCTGCAGGGCGTCCCTGTCTGGTCCTGTGTCTGCTTCTGTCCCGCTGATGCCTCCTCCACCTGCTCAGGCAGTTCTCAGGCCCCCCCAGAGAGGGCCTGTCCTCCCACAGCCTCTAGACAGGAGAGCCGTGGTCACAGGAAAGGTCCCTCCCAGACATGAGCCTCTCTCTCTCCAGGCGGATGCCTGGCCCTGCCTAGAAGTGTTCCTTGGCAGTCTTGGGGCTGGCTCTCTTGCACCCCAGGAAATGCAAAGCTTTCTGAGGGAGGAGGGGTCCAGAGAGCCTCGCCCTGTTGGTGAGACACCCTCAGATCTGAAATGATGCGACATCTGGGCTCTGCGCTTTGGGGAGAAGAGTGGCCTGCAGGGTGTATATGTCCATCACACAATTACTGAGTCCCAGGACCTGAAGAAACAGAGATGAATAGACCCCCAGCAGCACCCAGGAGAGGGGGAGGCAGGCCAGGGATTCAGGAAGAGGGAGAGAGTTTGCACACTCCTGTTCCTGGAGACCTTGAGAAAGGACCCCCCTTAGTTGGGGGCAGTTGAGCTGGATCTTGGAAGGTGAATGAGAATTAGAAATAGGAGGTGTAGCCTGAGAAAGGACAGGGCATGCATGGGGAAAATAGAAAAGGAGGCCCTGGTGGCTGGATGGAATGGGTGTAAAGGTGAGGAGTGTGTGTGTGTGTGTGTGTGGGGGGGTGCGAGTGAGGAGGGTGGGTGTGTGAGTGAGGAGTGTGAGTGAGGAGTGTGTGGGAGTGTGAGAGAGGAGTGTGGGTGAGGAGTGGGTGAGTAAACGGAGGCTGGCTCACTGGAGGTGCTGGAACCAGGAGGGACTGGATCGGGCAGCCCCTGAAATTCCCCAGCTACACATGGTCAAGGATGGTCAGGTACCACTCTGCTTCTGCATAGTGTTCGAGATGACTGTGGGAGGAGCTTGCAGGAGGTTATGCAGTCCTCTGAGCTGAGGCTAAGAAGGGGATGGAGGAAGCAACTTATTCATGGCCAAATAGCCAGTAAGTGTGAGAGCCTAAGTTAGGATGTACATCTTTTGACCCCCAGATACAGGCTTATTTCTTTTTCTTTTTTTAAATATATTTTATTGATTTGGTACAGAGAGGAAGGGAGAGGGATAGAGAGTTTGAAACATTGATGAGAGGGAAACATCCATCAGCTGCCTCCTGCACACCTCCCACTGGGGATGTGCCCGCAACCAAGGTACATGCCCTTGACCGGAATCGAACCTGGGACCCTTCAGTCCGCAGGCCGACGCTCTATCCACTGAGCCAAACCGATCAGGGCCAGGCTTATTTCTTTTTAGCTTGTGACACCGCCCCCGCTCCTGTGACAGCTGTCGTGCAGAGTGAGAGACCCTGTCATAGGAGCCCATTTTGTTACAGATATTAGAACTGTATGGACCAACCAGCAGAGGAAATCTGGGAAGGCTTCCAGGAGGAATTAGACTTGGGAGGGCGGTAAGAGGGGACAAGTAATAGGTACAAATGGTTGTCTGCGGTGAGGCACTTCTTTCAGATGAAGCTGCATCAACTTGTGCAAGTGACTGAACTCTTTATTGACTTCTTTGTCTATAAAGTGGTCACAGCATCAGCCTTGCCTCTTCGTTGCCACAATTGAACTCCAGTGGGAGGAGGTGCTCAGAGGTGCTCTGCTCCCTCCTGTGCCATTGCCTTGGCTGCTCTGGGAGCCAGAGGAGCTTCTCCTGAAATTTTATTAAGACATTGGATAGGCCCGGATGAAAACTGTGAGGGGGAAACGCCACCTCAGAGGAAAGAGAACCACTAAGTGCACTGCATGGCTTAGAGCCCCCTGGAATGGGGGAGGGGTGGGGAGGACTTGGGTATTGTTGGATCACCTGTGGTCAGAATCGCCTGTGCCCAGAACAGGGCACAACAGGGGGCGGAATGAGTTTGACTTCCCAGGTTGGGGGTTGCTTTGGACCATAGTCAGACCTGTTCACCGGCCCTGCAAGTGCCCCAGCCAGAGTCCTGCACCAAGTAGGTGCCTGTTGGTCTGGCACTTAGTAGGGGTTCAGTTGTTTGCTGAGGGACTGGAGCAGGGGGCTTAAACTGGGGCTTGTGATGCCTCTGGATACAGAAGCTGTGGAGTAGGCAGGACCCCAGCAGGGCTCTGACCCCCCAGGGCCCCTCTCTACCCATATTTACATGGAGGGATTAGAATCCCTTATCCCACTGCACCAAGGAGTTGTGCAGCAGCCCCTTCAGTGGAAACCACTGGGTGGGGGGCCTCAGTTGAATTGGTCCCACTGGGTGGTGGCTGTCAGGGACCCAGAGTGGCCCCTGCCTGTGGTAGAGGTTCAAGGCATTGCTTTGGCTTCTCTAGTGGACAGAAAAGCGGGTGACCCCAGGCAAAAATGTTGGGTTACCTGGACTTGCCCTTCCCTAGGGACTGTGTTTCACTGAGGATCAGGTGCACGTGACCCCAGGATGAAGGAGCAGGCCAGCGATGGGACCGCCTTTGTGGCATACACAAACCTGGGCAGCTCTCCCAGCTCACCTGCCTGTGTACTCCGTCCCTCCCGAGATTAACCCTCCCCCTCTGCTCTGGCTCAGCCCAGGGGACCAGGCCCAGAGGAAACTTGAACCCTGGACTGCTGCTGGGAACTCAGTTCCTCCCAGCTGGGTGCCTCTGTTGTTGACTCCCTTAGTCAGGCGGGAGGGCGGGAGTCGGGAGCCCAGCTTCCCCGGGCCCTCCAGTCGGGTGACCTTGGTAGGCAAATCGCTGGTCTTGTCTGCACCTCCGTCTTTGTTTGAATTTTTTAAATGTTTGAATGAAAGGGCGGGGGCGGAAGGGTGGGGGCGGGGGGAGCAGTCTCCCCCCCCTCCACTCCATTGCATTGAGCTGGGGGTGGGGCTGTACTTCCCTGTGATCAGAGAAGAAAGTGTTTGCAGCTGTGGGCAGCTGGCTTCGGAATGTACCCAGCTGCCTGGTCCGGGAAGGGAAGGGCCTGTGGCTGCAGGTGGGCGAGCTGCCTGGCCGGGTGGTGGCGGGTGGCGGGTGGTGGGGCGGGCTGGAGAGCGTGTGTGTGTGGGGGAGGGGGGGGTGGCGGGTGCGGAAGTCTGGAAGGCTCAGTGTGCAGTGCCCAGGGAGGTGGCTCTGGCATTCCTCCCAGTCTTTTGGTTACCCCCACTCCCACCTATACAGCTTTAGCTGGCCCATCCCAGAAAGGTTCATTCAACACATCTGTCAGTGCCTACCTTGTACCAGCATCGGCCTACGGTGTGCCAGGTTTACCAGGTGAGCAGGTTTGTTCCTGCGGACCTGAGATTCTCATGGTGGGAGAGAGGGGGCAAACAAGGTGATTCCAGGTCAGTGCTATGAAGAATATGAAGCCAGGTGATAACTTGATGGTGGGGGGACGGGGGGGTGCTCCTTTAGCGGGAGTGCTCAGGAACGGCCTGTCCTAGGAGAGGACACTTGATCTGAGACAAGAATGAGGCAAAACCAGCCTTGCCTAGAGCCAGGGCCAGGGGAGGGAATGTCCAGTGCAAAGACCCAGAGGCGGGGCTCCCGGCCGTTGATGACCCTAGGTGGAGCCAGCGCTTTAGGGGAGGAGCCTGGGAGGGACCGCTCCTGGCTGTGAGTCTCAGCCAGGCCCAGAGCTCCCTGCTCAGGTGCCCTGGGAAGGACCCTTTCCTGAGGCCGGAAGTGGCGGTTTCCAGGCGTCTTTCTAAACTTCTTGGACCTGGAGGTGGTGCCTACTGGTTACCTGTATGGAAGGCTGTAATTTTCCACTGTTCTCTGAAGGACCGGAAATCTCTTGATGTTGTCACCGCTGTATTTTTTTTAAGACGTTTGTGAAATTTCAACTTGGAAGACAGATTCAACGTGTACTTTGCAGGAAGGGGGAAGCCTGCCTGGGCACGCACGCCTCTTAGATGCTGGTCTGGGCTGAGAGGTCTCCTGATCCAGCCAGAAGTGGCACCTGAATGCCAACCATCCTTGGGGATGAGCCTCTGTGGTATTGGACTCCTTGGTGACAACCTCAGCAAGATCCTGGACCGGGCCAGAGGATCTGCGCTGTGGAGGCCTGCCCATTCTCAAAAGCTGGATCTGACTCCCGGGCACCTGGTACCCAGACCTGGGTCTGCGGAGAGGCCAGGGTTCTCACCGCCAAGGTCTGTGGGTGGCTTTGCCAGGGCAGGGGCACAGGAAGCTTCCTTCCCCCGTGGACCTATGATGCGGGTGGAGGGAAACTGGAGGCTGTGGGGTTGTTTCTCCTGGGAGCCCTGTCCTGGAGCCAGGGCCTCATTGAGGAGTGAAGGTGGTCAACAGCCAGCCAGGACCCTTCAGGGGCTTGAGAGGAAGTGCAAAGGTGGGTGCCCGGGGTTGCTAGGCTGGCTTCTCCTCCTTCTGGGAATCAGGCCCTGCCCTCTGGGAGCATCAGGTCTTGGGGAGGGGAGGCAGTGGGGCATCTGGAAGGTGATCTAGGCCCAGGGAACTGGTGGGGTTGGCGAGGCAGGCTGTCAGGAGGGGGCTTTGACCTCAGGCTGTGTTCCCAATGAGGACCCTTGACGGTTCTTTAGCGGGAGGCTGCCAGCGCAGGTGAGGAGAAGGGGCATGCCCCTGGGGCTCTTGGACCCAGATTTAATAATCCTAGCCTGTCTCTCTGGTGGTTAGTATTGCAGGCGAGGAGCTTGACTCCGAAAACTTGTATTGATCCAGACACTAATGAAAAGTAAAGGGGTTTTGGGAGCACGGGTTTTTCTTTTTTTCCTACTAGAGAAAAGGACATCAGAGTCCTAAACCACAGTTTTGTTTTTCTCCCTCTCCCTAGATTTGGGGGCTCTGGGGGGTGACGGGGCCTTGCTCAGATGTCACCTCTTCAGGGAGCCTTTCCTGGCTGCGCAGGCCTGCGGTCATCCCTTTGTTCTCCAGTCAGTGGACCGAAGCTGCCACTGTGCATCTAGTCTGTCTCCCATAGGGGCTGGGGGGCGGCAGAAGCCTCTCGCTCACCTGGGACATCCCCCTCACCCCCACTCCCCAGGGAGCGAGAGTCATCTCCCTAGGAGGCTATGAAGACTGGACTCTTGTGTCTTTCTAGGCTTGGTTTCTTTCGGCCATGCTGTTTTTTCGCACAGTCATTATTTTAAATACTTACCGAGCTCGTACAGCATGCCAAACCCCACCCCCCTGTGCCTTAGGATGTGGAAAACACACAGACGTGGCCCTGGGGCATCCCAAGCTCTGGAAAGGAATTCCAGGTTGGGTGAAGTTCCCTAACTGAAATATAAGTCAGGGATTTCTGTCTGCTTAGTTCAGCACCTGGATTCCCAGTGCTCAAAAGAGTGCCTGGGACATAGTTTGCATTTAAATATTTGCTGGCTGAATGAGCACGGTGCAATGAAGGAAGCATGCTAGGGGGTTCGGTGGGGAGTAATGGGGATGTGTCAAGAGCTATTGGAATGGGGCAGTAGGGGGAGGGCTGAGTTCCAAAAGATTCCCTAAGCCAGCCAGCCTTTGGAAGAGAGGGAAAACAGAGGAGCCGCAGTACAAAGTCCCGGAGGCAGACAAGCCCAGGCTGCCTGCAGGTGCGGGGTGGGGGTTGCTGGATGAGGGCTGAGGGCAGGTAATCCACCTGGCCAACGTCTTCCACCTGGGGAGGACTTTGGATGTATTCTGAGTGCTGATTGGACTAAGTGATGGGTTTCTAGCCCTGGGGTTAAATAATGATTTGCATTCCTAAAGGGTCCCAGTTCTACCCTAGTAGGGAGTTGGGGGGTGGAGTGAGGCTGCCTGAGCAGGTTCCATGGAGTGGATGAGTGTGGGATTTCAGAGGAGGTAGCAGTCCGATTTGCTGATGGGGCCAAGGAGAGGTCGGGTTTGTGGCGTTTGAGACTACACTTTAACCACCGAGATGGAGGCCCACTTTGGACTTGCAGGAGTCCAGGAGATGTCAGCCAGCATTTAGATCTGTGAGCCTGGAGCTCAGGGGAGGGGAGGGCTGGAGATAGAAACATAGGAGTCCTGAGCACACTGGACATACTTAAAGCTAAGGAGTGGTGAAATCACCAAAGGAAAGTATCTTCCTGGAGGAGTGTCCCAAATCAGATGCTGAGAAACTACACCTGGGGGAAAGGTGATGCGGGTGCCTGGGAAGGAGCACAGTGGCCTGTGCGGGAGGAGGGACGCCAGGTCAGGCCACCCCTTGCTGACTGATTAATAACCCTGTGGGTGAGGAGGTCATGGTGGCGCCTAAGTCACCCGGGGCCCTGCTGCCCCAGGGATAATGGCCACATGGTCTGCCAGGGCTGCAGGGTATTGCTCCCGCCTCCTACCTTGTTTCCTCTGGTGCTCCACACCCGCCCTGCCCGCCCTCCGCACACATGCTGGTTGCTTTAGGCTCCGGGAAGGTAGAAGGAGACAGGCCTCCAGCCTGGCCCAGCCTTGGGGCGCTTGGGGCTGAGGGAGGCTGTTTGTGTGGTAGGTGTGAGGTGGCTTGTCTGACTGTTGCATAGCTTCCCACAGGACAGCCAGCTCAGCTACACCACAAACCCCGGGGACACCTGGGGAGTGAGGGGACGGGCAGAGAAGGCCAAGGTCGGGCTGGGCTCCACCTGGAGAGGTGACACACTCTTATGCTGCCTCCTGATGACAGTCAGTGTCAGAGCTGCTTGGCTGCTTCGTGCCCTTTCTTCCCTCCCCCTGCCCAGCAAATCCCAATTGGCCTGGGGGTGGGGCAGAGGCAGGCTGTTTTCAGGTTTCAAAGTATTTGGGCCACAGCCCAGCCTTCCTGTCTTTCTGGCCTCCTGGGAGAGGGTGGGCATTTGAGAGGTTCTGGGAGGGTGGTCTTGCCTGGTAGTCATGAGGGTCCCAATTGGACTCCCTCCTTTTTACAGAAAGAAACTACTGCCCAGAGAAAAGTGAATTGCCCAGGTTACTACCCAGGACTGGTGTCCAGCTGTGTGCCTCCCGGGATCGCCTGGGCTGGTCTCTCTTCAGTGCTCGCTCTGAGCCACGCTTTGTCTGCAATCAGTGACTCCTCACAGCACCCCCCCTCCCCCCGTGAGGTTAATACCATTACTGTTGTCCATCTGACGGAGGGGAAACAGAGGCCTGGAGAGGTGACTGGCCTTGTCCAAGAGTCCAAGTTGTATGTGGCACAGCCCAGGTTTGAACTGGCCATTCCGGCTTCAGAGCCCATGTTTTTAACCGCCAGGCTGTAGCCTCAAGTGTATGTGACTGGGGGTTCCATGGAAACAGGAGGGTGGTAAATCCTTGACTGGCTGCCCCTCAGCTTTAGGCCTGAGGACTCCGCCTGGCCCTGGCCTTTCAGATAGAGGATGGCGTCTGAGAAACAGCGCCTACTGCCTGCCTAGCTACCCCAGGTGCCAGGAAATGGCCCGTCTTTTTCAGAGGGCTTGTTAGAACAGGTACTGAGGCCCAGGCAGTCAAGTCTCTTCCTTTCCTCCCCTGGCCCCCTTCTATCTAGCAGTTGGGCAGACCCTGCCCACCCTCTGGAGCCTTGGGGCCCCAGGAGAGCCTGCTGAGCCCCGGGCTCCCCTCACCTGCTGCCACCTCTGGCCATGCAGCCTGTCCAGGAGGGGGCTGGGCCTGGGTGTGAAGTGCCCACCGCTGCAGGTCTGCCTGTCTTCTTCATGTCCTGCCAGATGTCATGATATAGTGTTCTCATCTGTATGTGAGAAGGGGAAAGACTGGAACCAACCTCACAGGGTTTTGAGGCCCAGATGAAAGCCCCATGTTAGGGCACCTTGAGACAGTGAGCCCTCATCCTCACCCCTTCCTTTTGCCCATGAAGGAAAGGTACTATTGGGCCAGGAAGAGCTGGGCCTCCGGGAGTGGGAGGGAGCAAGTGGGGGAACGCATCCTGGCTTTGGTTGACCTCTCGTGGCCGGGTCCCAGCTTTCCGCATGCTGTATGAAGTCCTGGGCAGGTTGGGAACCTCTGCCCATGGCCGTTCCTCCTCTGAGATGGGGCCGGCTATTGCCTGTCTTGTGGGTGGTTGTGAGGAATAGTGAGCCCGTGCCAGGTGCGGAGCGAGTGCTTAAAAACGGCTGCCATTTCTACGCTTATTCTTCAAGATGTAGCCCCGTTGTTTTGGGGTTCTTTGGAGCCCTTGGGTGAAATTTGGATTTTTTTTACTATTGTGCATTTTATCTAAAGTCTTCCTTAGAAGCCCAAGACCTTCAATCTGATCGTGACTCTTTGGTTTTTGTTGTTGTTTGATGTCCTGTTTTCTGTAAAGAAAAAGGGATCTGTGCCTTTAAGACCCTGGTTGGGCCAAGCGGGACACTGTTCCTTTAAAAGCACATTACGGAGAGTTGGAACTTAGCCTTTGTTTAACTATCCATGATTAGTCCCAGAGGACAGGGCTGGAGTGGCATGTCCAGGACCAGAGCTGGGTTGGACTGGCTGGGCCCGGTGGGGAACGGCGGGCGGCGGGCTGGCTGGCCCAGCCCTCTGGTGTCCTGGGCTTGGCGAGCTCCGTGGCCACGCTGAGAGATGGTGAGTGGCCTGAAAGAGGTTGGAATGAGGGAGGCCGGGAAGGAGGAAGGAGGGACGCTGCCGGCCCTGGGGCCACCAGCCAGCCTCCTGGGCCCAGGGCCACCTCTGTGAGATGGGTGGGCGCTACCTGTTAGAGAGGGACTGCCCAGGTGCCAGCCTGGTGGGTGGGGAGCGGCTCAGGAATTCCCCGGGGATGGTGTGTCCGTCCCTCTGCAGACATGGACAGCCAGCCTGAATATGGAAGTAATTAGGACAGCCCCGCCAAAGAGCAAGAAACAAAAGTGCCGCGGCTGTTTTTAGTCTTTAACGAGAGGAAATCAGTGTGTTGTTTCTTTCTGTGAGCAAGGCCCGGTGGCCTGTGTGGCGGCCCCGTTGAGAACCGGGAAGCGCCTGGAGCCGATGAGAAGTTTTCTGAGCTGAGGAACTTGGCCTTTGCTCTGAGTGGCCCAACCCTGGGCCAGGCTGGGTGGGGCTGTTCAGGGTTTGGGGGCCATGTCATCTCCTTCCTAGCCCCCAGTGGGTCTCTCCTTTCCCCTCCTCCCTGCCGGTGTCTGTCCCCTGCGGGGTGGGTTGGTGGAAGACCAGGCAGGCTGTGTCTGGGCCTGGAGTGTGTTTTGCTCCAGCTTAAATATTTGAAACAGTTGTCAGGAAG